AAGAACATAGAGTCACATAATTACTATTTCTTAGTTACATAAATTACTTTTTTACATAAATTACTTTTAAATTATATAAACTAATAAAATATTAAGTCTATGCCATAGTTTTTCTACATTCTGATTTACAGTATTTTCATCTACATTCAAGATACTCGCCGGGCAATGGCGGCGCACGCCTTTAATCCCAGCACTCGGGAGGCAGAGGCAGGTGGATCTCTGTGAGTTCGAGACCAGCCTTGTCTACAGAGCTAGTTCCAGGACAGGCTCCAAAGCCATAGAGAAACCCTGTCTCGAAAAAGCAAAAAAAAAAAAAAAAAAAAAACAAGATACTCTACAACTCAAAGTATGCTACTTAATATTCTCATACTTCCAAAATCTAGTAAAAATAAAAAAGATAAAGCAGAATATTAATAATTATCACATTCTGCCAGGTTTTTCATAAAAAATATGTTGAATGACATTTTTCAGACAGGAAAACAGCAAAAGAAAAATAAATTCTGCTGACAATCCCAATCAGATCAAATGGCTGTATCTGCCATTACTTAGAAAAAGGAGGAAGAAGCCAGGCAGTAGTGGCATGCAGGGACCAGGTGGGACAGAAACCCATGACAACAGAATGGCGTGCCAATGTGGGGCTGACCAAATCTACTTAAAAGCCTGAGAGAGCTTGGGAAGTTATTCTAGACAAAAAAAGAATAGAGTTAAGCATGGCTTATTGATAGCAGCACTTTCTTGGGTTTGCTCTGCTTGCTAGAGGCAAGCACTCTCATTTAAGAGATGCTTCCTGACTCAGCTTTAGCTGCAAAACCTTGCAACGCTTTTAAGAGGTCCTGCCATGAAACACTTAAATGGTGTCAATGAAAAGCTGACCACATGCCTTTTGGTGGTGGCAGGGACCTTGAAATGCCGTAGAGTTGTGGCAATAAATATGTCTCTGGCCAGTACCTCTGCCATGAAGCTGGAATCTCAGAAAGCTAAGAAATGGTCTGGATCCAGCCACCAAAGCCATGGCTTTAATTCTAGCCATATCACTTACCAAATTAAAGGCTCAATGTGATCAGAAAAAGAGAGATATACAGTAAAGAGAGATTCAAAGATGAAGAAAACTTCTAAATGTTTTACACTGTTTTAAAAATATATGCAGGCTGGGGAGAGAAAAGAAAAAGGTTAAAGTCCTTAAAATTAAAAGAGAGAGAGAGAGAGTAGTTAGGCGTAATAGCACACACCTTTAATCCCAAGACTTGGAAAGCAGAGGCAGGCAGACCTCTGTGAGTTCAAGGCCTGGTGGCACACACCTTTAATCCCAGCACTTGGGAGGCAAAGCCAGGCAGATCTTTGTGGGTTCAAGGACAACCTGGTCTATAGAGTGAATTCCAGGACAGCCAAACATACACAAAGAAACCCTGCCTCAAAAAGCCAAAAAACTAAAAATAAAAGAAATAGAGGTTAAAATAAAGCCACGTAAAGATGGAAAACACACAGAGAATCTGGATACTGTATGTTATTATGTTCTCTTTGAATTGTTTGAATGCTGAGGAAAGAGCAACAACTGCTAAAAGATATTTGTTTATAAATGCTGCTGAATTAATCCAAGATAGGTATTTTGAAAATAACTTGACTTCAAAATTGAAGTTAAAAAAATGTTACCTTGGAGAAGAGGTTTTGCTTTTGTTTTCACAGAAAATGAGAGACTATGGATTCATTCTGAGTTAAGAAAAATCAGGTTTGATCAAGGTACACCACCTGAGAAATCTGATAGGAGCAGATGGTCCAGATGTCTGAGTTCTACATCCAGAACAGATTCAAAACTGCTGCCTGAGATGATCAAGCCTCACAGGATACTCCAGTCATGACTTGATGATAATTATAAATTTTCTTTAGGTCCCCATAAGATTATCAGTGCCCCCACCAGCAGGAAGTAGCCTGGAAATTATGCCCACATTCTCCAAAAAAATGGACTATGGATATTTCCTTTGGTTAGAATGTTGGTTATAAGTTATTATGGCTAATGGTGAGGCCATATTAAAGAAAGAAAGGATATTAGATTCAGAGTTCTTGTTTTTTTTTTTAAAAAAAAAAAGAGGAGGAAGTGCTGTGGGACCATGATCTGTATCCTGTCAATTATATTTTAAATAAATGCTGATTAGCCAGTATCCAGGTAGGAAGTATAAGCAGAACAACCAGGCAGGAAGTAGAGGTGGGGTGACGAGAACAGGAGAATTTTGGGAGGAAGAAAGCTTGATCCACAGTCCTGTCCCGGCCACAGAAGAAGCAAGATGTGACTGCCCCACCAAATAAGGTATTGAGCCTTGTGGCTAACACAGATAAGAATAATGGGCTAATATAAGTTTTAAGAGTTAATAAGAAGCCTGAGATACTGGACCAATCAGTTTAAAACTAATGTAGACTTCTGTGTGATTTCTTTGGGCTTAACAACTGTGGGGACCAGTTTGCCAGAAACCCCAGACAACAGTGGCACACACATTTTAGCATTTTAACCAGCACTTGGGAGGCAGAGACAGGTGGATCCCTGTCAGTTCAAGGCAAGCCTACTCTACAAAGTGAGTTCCAAAATAGCCAGAACTGTTACACAAAGAAACCTTGTCTCGAAAAACCAAAAAGAAAAAAAGGAAGGGAGGGAGGGAGAAAGAAAGAAAGGGAGAGAAAGAGAGAAAGAACAGGATGAAGATGCTAATATAAATGTACTCAGGGAATCTGAAGCGTGGTACTTCGGCCGCTCTTCTGAAAATTAACAAGAAGTGAGACAGGTTTGGTACTAGTACAGTGAGTTTTTCTTTAACTGTGTCCAGCAAATGAGGTGCTTAACTACAAAAATAGAAAAATAAGAATATTTCTTATCTCATATTATAAGGAATGAAAGATAGGACTGAAGAATGGTTCAGTAGTTAAGGTGCTTACTGCTCTATCAGAGAACTGGAGTGTGGATCCCAGTAGCCACATGAATGGCTCACAAACACCTGTAACTCCAGATTCAACTCCCACAGTCTCTCTCTCTTTCACACACACATACACACAAGCGCACACACACATACACAAACACACTCTATCACACACACAAACACATGCAAATTAAATATCTTTAAAAGAAATGTAGAGTTATAAAAGGTAATTATTATTCAGAAAGTTAAATTGTCAGATTTTATCCACCATGCATTCAATGTAACACACACTATATTAGAGAAAATATTTTGAAGACAGGACTGCTATTCTGCTTATAAAACACAGAAAACATGTCCCTTTCAAGGGATTCTGGATTTCTGAGAATGAATGTGAGCCTTCTCCACCCAAGTGCTATGAATTTATAAACTAGTGAAGTATTGTTCACCGTAGTGCAGAAATATTCCTGTCAGCAAAAAATACCATGTGGTCCTCAGCTTTATTTCAGAAGGACCAGAATTTTTATTGTATGTATCTTCAGTTAAGGGGCTCTAATGGCTGTAACAGAATAATTGATGATATTTAGCACCAAAGTTTAGAGAACAGAAGTATTGCCAGAACTGTGAAAGTTGCTTGTATGCAGATAGAAAAATCAGATGTGTGCTGTGCTCTTTAATAAGAACATTTTAAACAACATAATGCCAGAATTCCAATTGTCGCCTTTGATTTCAGATGTACCTTCAACATTCAAACACAGCATTATTATTTCTGAAAGATTTCTTAGTTTTATTTTTCTTTTTTTCTTTTTTTTTTTAATTGTTGCTGTTTTTATTGTTTTGTTGTTGTGTTTCTTTGGTTTGCTTGTTTTGAGACAGGGTCTATAATTTAGCCTTGGCTGACCTGGAACTCACTCTGTAGACCAGAGGTTGTTCTTGAACGCATAGAGATCTGCTTGCCTCTGCTTTCCAAGAGCTGGGATCAAAGGCATTCACCACCAGGCCCAGCCCAGCTTATTTTTTTCTTAACTACAAATAAATTTTCTTTCAAATATGGCTTTTTTCAGAGATTAGATAAAAATCCTTTTTAAAAATCCACTCCCAATCTCTCAGTAGCAGGATTTTAAATGTTCTTCACTGTGAAACAAAGGTCAAGAGTGCAGCTCAGAAGTACAGTATTTACCTAGCACGCACAGGGCCCTAGATTGGGTCCCCAGTCTCTCTCTCTCTCTCTCTCTCTCTCTCTCACATACACACACACACACACACACACTTACACACACACACACATACACACACACAAAATGAAATAAATAGCTTGGATCCTTCTGGTGCAATACATATAGAAATAAAAGAACATAATGATGAATGCATATTGACTTATTACAATATGTTTCTTCCCAAAATATTGGCACATAAATGTAAGTAGGCTAAAAAAGCACATAATGAAATTATAAAACATTAGACCAGCATTATTTCAAGTGAATAGCCTTAGGTGGTCTTTCTCCGTATCAAAGAGAAATATTCTTGCCCAAGTAAGCTTGATTTTAACCTTATATGAAATACTTTACTTCAAAACTGATCCACAAATTAGCTAAAGTTTGTCATGAGGCAGTTTAATCACTCCATTTAAAAACCTTATAATCTAGGATTAAGATGACAGTTGAGTGGCAGAGCAAATACTTAGCATTCTGGGGCTCTGGGTTTAACTGCCAGCACACACACACACACACATACACACACACATACACACACACATACACACACACATACACACACACACATACACACATACACATACACACACATACACACACACATACACACACACATACACACACACATACACACACACATACACACATACACACACACACATACACACACACACACATACACACATACACACACACATATACACACACATACACACACACATACACACACACATACACACACATACACACACACATACACACACACAAATACACACACATACACACACATACACACACACACATACACACACACATACACACACACATACACACACACACACACACACACACACACATACAGACACTCCTATAACTCAAAGGGAGGAAAGACATATTTCTAGTTCAAGGAGACTGTCCAGCAAATTTCAGTTGTTCATAATCCTCATCCTACATATTATATTCCTTACTATGTAATTAAGAAGAACAAAGCTCTCTTGTTTAAATTGCCAAAAATTCTTTAAGAAGCTGTTTTTGAAAGGAAGTATGTAAAAGAAACATTATTGGTATAATTATTAAGAAATAAAGTGCATATGCCTTTTAATATCAATATTTTTAGTACATTAGTACAATCAAAATGAAGACTTAGCTCAAGTTCTCAAATCTGAAAAATACGGAACAAAATACAAGTTTTATAGAAACAATAACAAAATGGGAGAAAGACTGTCCCCCTACAAAAGAAAAGAAGCAACTGGAAACACTGAGAAAATCCAAGTGAATCTCTGTTCCCCAGTTAAATCAGACAGGTTACACAGTGACACCCACGTGCAACACCTGAAACGCGGAGTCACATTCCGGCTGCTGCCCTTGAACGTCCGCATTTAACTTACAATTCTCTGGGGTCTGGCTAATCTCATCCTGTAAAGGGGGAGATACTCCAGGGGCCTCCATCTCAGAGGAGACATCCAACCCTTCGGGGGACCCAGCTACGTGGCATGTACTGTCTCCTGCCACATCGTCAGAATCTGTCCTCTCATCGGCCTCGTCCAGCTGCTGGACTGAAGATAAATACTGTTCGAGCAGGGTGTTGTCCTGCTCGCTGTTGGAGCTTTCCTTGCTACAGTCTGCATGCTCCCCACTCATGGCCTCTAAGTTGGCGTCTCCACCGTATTTCACTGTGTCCGTGGAATTCCCCAACATGGAGCTTTGACTGCTTTCTATGGAGCTCTTTTCAAAATCCAAAGAATCCTTCAAACAGTGAACTTGTTCTGTTAGGGAGGAATGAAAACCAGAGTCTGGGAATTCTGGAACAGATCTCTCTTGAGACGCTTCAGCCTCAGCAAGGAGCCACTCAGGATTCTGATCAGAAGTGAGGGCCTGACGCTGTGGAAATATTGGAGCTTTAGGTGACACTAGAGTACTAGATATAGGAGGAACATCGGTATGCCAGGAAGTTAGACGCTGCTCCACCGTCCGTTGCCAAGCTTGTAGGGATCTCACCTGTAAAACAGAAGGCACAGTTTTATCATAAGATAAAAATCTGGCCTTTTTTAAATGTCCTGAGCTTTTTATTTTTCCAGAAGTCATGCAGTTGCCTTCATTCCTTACTCCCCATCCTCCTCATAGGCCTCCCAGCCTAGCCAGGAATGTACAGTGTTTTGTGTCTTGGTAGCAAAGCGCAGTCACCAGCACAGAGACCAATGCCAACGCAGTTCTCTTGCTCCAGGGGAGAAAAACGGAAAGTACCATAGCATCTTAACTCCCTAACTAAGGGGTCACCAATGTACAAACTATAGTCAATAAGGCTGGTTGGCACCTAAATCAATAAATAAATGGAGCCCCTAAAATCAGTTTATTTTAAATATACATGCAGACACAGGGTTTCTACCTATTTTTAAATGTAGTATTTATAACTTTCTAAAATACCTAAATGTAGTATTTATAACTTTCTAAAATGACTAAAAATATTTCCAAATTCTCGACAATATGACCTTTTATATCTTAAGATGTAAAAATAATTTCGAATTTTTACTATAAAAATTGTGCCTTAGGCTGAGAGATGGTTCAGAGGTTAAGAGCACTGGCTGCTCTTCCGGAGGTCCTGAGTTCAATTCCCAGCAACTACATGGTGGCTCACAACCATCTATAACGAGTTCTGGTGCCCTCTTCTGGCATGTAGGCACACATGCAGGCAGAACACTGCATACATAATAAATAAACAAACAAACAAACAAATAAATAAATAAGCAAACGAAGAATTTTAAATAATACAAGATTTAAAGATAAATAAATAAATAGTTGTGTCTGGTGGTGGTGGCACTTGGGAGAAAGAGGCAGGCACATCTCTGTGAGTCTGAGGCTAGCCTGATCCACAAAACGAGTTCTAGGACAGCCAGAGCTGTTGCATAGAGAAACCTTATCTCAAGAAACAAACAAACAAGCAAGCAAGGTATGGGAGAGATGGCTCAGTGGTTAAGAACATTTGCCACTCTTTCCAAAGACCAGCACCACACAGCGGATCACAGCCATCTGTAACTTCATCTCATAGGGTTCTACTACCCACTTCTGGCCCCAAGGGCATTGCACACACATAGTGCACATGCATACATGCAGGCAAAACACCCATACACATAAATTCTTATTTTAAATTGCAAGCAAGAAAGTGATACAGAGTAGTTCGGTGGGTATAGTGCTTGCCTAGCATGCATGAGGCCCTAGTTTCAAGGCCTAAAAGTACACAAATCTGTTGTGATGCTGCACACCCCGACTTGTGAGGTACAGGCAGGAGGATCAGGAGTTCAAGGCCAATCCTCAGCTCAGTGAGTGTATGGCTAACCTGGACCACATGAAAACTTATCTCAAAAGCAAAATGAAATAGAATTTTTAGTTTCACTGTGACTAATATCCAAGGTAATTTTTTGTCTGCTTTTTGTGACAGGATCTCACTAGGATAGCCCTGTGTCATCAAGTACTTTCTGATAGGAGTTTAAAGTATATCTTTTCAGAATTTTTTCTATATATTCCCATATACTTACAGTTTTAATATATATTTTTTTAATTTTTTAAATTTATAGATGGGGGCACACACATGCTTGTGGAAGTCAGAGAACAACTTGCAGAAGTTGGTTCTTGTCTTTCATCATGTGGTCCCAGGGACCAAATTCAGGCTGTCAATATTAATGACATGCACCTTCACCCCGTGAACTAATCCACTGGTCCTCAGCTTTGCAAACCAAGTGGATGCTAAGCTCCATCTTCTACTTTATTAGTATTACTCTGGAGATCTTTCCAGGTCAGTCCATAGTACTACTTTACTCTTTTTAATCGTCCCATAGCATTATATAGTGCTGTTATTTTTATAGTTTATTTAACCAGTCCCCTACTAATAGTAAATAAAAAACTTAAAAATTGATTAACTTAATATATTGGTTCTATATAATTACAACAACTTATTTGTTAAGATATTTGTAAGAAAAAAGATATTTCTAAGAAATTATTATTAGGAAGTATTTTTGTTGTTTTGGAATTTTTTTTGTTTTGTTTTGTTGTTGCTTTTCGAGACAGGATTTCTCTGTGTAACAGCCCTGGTTGTCCTAGAACTCATTTTATAGACCAGGCTGGCCTCGAATTCACTGAGATCCACCTTCCTCTGCCTCTCAAGTGCTGGGATTAAAGGCATGTGCTGCCACCATCACCCCACGATTCAAAAGTTTTCTATTACAATATTAGTAATACTGTAATATTTTAAAGTTTTACAGTACTAGTGAAACCACAGGCTTAAAATTATTTGGGGCCGGGAAGTGATGGTGCATGCCTTTACTCCCAACACGCGGGAGGCGAGGTAGCAGGTGGATCTCTGTGAGTTTGAGGCCAGCCTGATCTACAGAATGAGTTCCAGGACAGTCAAGGCTACACAAAGAAACTCTGTTTTGAAAAACCAAAAGAAAAAAAAAATGGTCTCACTGGAAATTGTCTGTGTTCACATACACTAGAGAAATCAGCAGTGGGCATTTACCTCGTTCCAAAGGAATCTGACAGCTTCTTCTTGTACAGAAGCTTTCACACGCTCTTCATCTCTTTCTTTTCTTAATCTACAATGATTCAAAAGATCATGTTAGCGTGAGGAAGAAGGCTTTGATGTAAACTTCCTGTTACAACTACTAAGCAAATGCATTACAAAGAGATTAATAACCTAATAGCAACTGCTTCCACTGTTGAATAGCTAAGCTCTAGCCTTATTTAAAATGCTTCAAGCACAACTCAGAATGAACTACGCTTCAAGACAGGAGCCAAATGAGATGTAAGTGAAACTGAAGTTTCCTTATTCATTGTACATAGCATTACCAATGGGGGAATGTGTGTATGAGTGTGAGTGTGTGCACACATACTTATGTATTGAACATCTCTTTATCTGCCCTTCAGGCTCCCAGACAAACACAAGATGACGGGCCTAGAAAAGGCTGGTTATTCAGAGCCTCCGAAAGTTAACAGTCAGACTTAGGCACTCAGGATCACAGACTGACAATTTTCTCCTAAGACGTCAACCGAGCCCATCCCACTTGCCCCATCCCTGCTTCTCCCTGGGGTCACAGACTCTCCCACCTATTACTTGTTCTCATGCCACAATCTTTCCTCTCAATTACAGGAGCTGTCTCGATTAGTAGGCCTGTCCCAAAGCAGAGCCTTCCTTAGTTGTCCACTACCACTCTAGACGTCACCCCCCCTTTGTCCTGAACTTTGTTTTATGTTTGTTTTTAATCTTTGCAGTACTGGATCAAGAATCCAGGTCCTTGTGCCTGCTAGACAAAGAAAGGCTCTACCCCGAGCCATACATACGTCACCCCTTTTCAGAATTTCCAAGACAGTTATCCACTTTCTCTAAACTCTCCAAGACGTTCTTCTGCGCCATCCGGCACTCCTGGATTTTAAGCAGCAAACTCCCGCATAGGCTTCCTTTCTCTGAACATTTTCTTAGCTAAAGCAGACTCGTTTGTGCAAGCACTGCCGCTCTTTCAACTAGCTCTTTTATACAAAGTCATCAAACTGCTTCTCACTGCTATTTTCAAGTGATTCTTTATCTAATCCCTTGTTCTGGTTGAGTTCTTCTGCAACTTGACAGAAACCCAGAAATATCTGGGAAGAGAAATTTCAATTGAAAAATATGTCTCTATAAGACTGGCCTATAGGCAAGTCTATGGGACATTTTCTTGATTAATGATTAATAAAAAAGAGCCCAGCCAACGGGGGTTACACCTACTGGGCAGATGCTCTGAGTTGAATAAGAAAGCGGAATGGAGGGCTGAAGAGATGGCTCAGAGGTTAAGAACACTGGCTGCTCTTCCAGAGGTCCTGAGTTCAATTCCCAGCAACCATATGGTAGGTTACAACCATCTGCAATGAGATCTGGTGCCCTCTTCTGGCATGCAGGCAAACATACAGACAGAACACTGTATACATAATAAATAAATCTTAAATAAATAAATGTCGGGTGGTGGTGGAGCACACCTTTAATCCCAGCACTCGGGAGGCAGAGGCAGAAGCAGGTGAATCTCTGTGAGTTCAAGTCACTCACATGAGAGACTAAATAACTGACCCCAGTAAAAACCATGACCTGAAATGCTTGGGAAAACATCTCAGGTTGGCACAACATTATAGCCCAGCGATGGTAAGCCCTGTACCTCTAAGACTTACCTGGGAGAGAACCTCTAGAAGTCTGCACCAAGTCTGCCCTGTGAGATTTCCCCTATTTCAATCTGTATGTATCTGCTATAGTAAACAGCAACCATGATCAGAATGATTCCTGAGTTCTGTAAGCCCGTTCAGCAAATCATGGAACCCGAGGACAGTCCTGAGGGTCACCAATTACAACCAATAGCTAAATCTAGCATCACTTTCTCTCCCCTTCATGAAGCACCTCTCAGTTCTCCGCGAACATTCTGCCCCACTGGAAATGAATAGAATATCCTCTCTTGGCTGTTCCTTCGCTACTTTCCCCTAAGCCACCTATAATACTGATAAACACCATTAATCCCAATACTAACGAACTCTTAGTTGTCAGAGGTTGGCAGTCAGCTAAACAAGTATGCCCTGGAACTGAGGACTAACTCCTACCTTAGCCCCAGAATTTTAGTCCCTTTGGAATCCCTGAGATCTCTCTCTAGCTCTTATGTCACCTAACTGATTCTATGTGGACTTCTTCCTCCTCATCTTGTTTTTCTACAGATTCTGCCCCCTGTTGAGAATCATAGATGCCTATGTAGTTCACAGCCACTCAACGTCTTTTGTGATACTACATCTATGTGCTAATTGCTATGCTGAGAATGGAGATGCATGTGGCAATTTGTACTCTCAGGAGGCTTCTGCTATATCACTGGAGATGAGGACACTGACAGTGGCCACCTGGTGTCATGATCACAGCAGCAGAGTTCTAAAACACTTCAGAACCCGACACCCCAAGCCAACCTACCTCCTTACTTCATCGGTCAGGCAGACAATGTGCTCCTGCATTCTGCGCAGCCGGATTTCATAACGTACCCTTTTGGCTTGTGGACTGTAGTTCCTGGTATAAAAGCCCCGCCAACAGGCCTGAAGCTTAGTGGCGGCTGCATTCAGTTTCTGAAGGGTGACTTTATCTTGTCCCAAAGCAACAGACCTCTCGGTAAAAATTCTGCAGGGAGATTTCTCTGAAGTGGTGGAAGACATGGTTTCTTCACTGTTTGGCTCTACATGGGACACACTATGTCCAACTGACTCCGGAAAAGATGTAAGACCATGGTTATCTTCCTTCAAGAGAGCATTGATAAGCACTGACTTGGGACAAGGAAACAGCCCCGCTTTCTCCTTTACTTCTTCACTCATCTTACTTTTCAGCACTTGAGCAGAACTCTCATTTGTATCCCACAAAGGTTTTTCCTTGTCCTTGTCCAAGTCCTGGCTTTCTAGCCTTTGCACGGCTTCATCTGTATCGTCATCATCATCTTCTAGGCCCAAGTTGATGCCCTGTAACCTCAGCTCCACAGTGGGAGATACTGGAGACAGTCCTGATGCAACGGGCATAAAAGTGGACTCTGAAGAGAGCAAACTGCAGTTCAGCTTGTCCTCGTCTGTCTGTATGTCTTCCAAGTGCAGGTCATTCCGAGAGTATCTTGTAGTGTGTCCAGAGGCTGGGAAGTTATTCTTAACAGCATAGAACTGATCATCGTTACTGCTTATCCCAACCCAAGAATTGATTTGGAGAACAGGCTCTAGAAGAACCGAGAGAGCATTATTTAAATCATCAAGTATTTGAAGAGCCTTCTTAATTATATACTTAAAACATTTTTTCCAGTTATTTATGTACTCTGTGTGTGTGTAGTGTACACATGCATGCCATAGTTTGCATGCTGAGGTCAAAGACAGCTTGTAGCAGTCAGCTTTCTCCTTCTACCATGTGTGCTTGAGGGATTGAGCTCAGGTTGTCGGGCTGGACATCAAACACGTTTATCCACTGAGCCATCTCCTTAATCCCTTAGTTGTTCACATTTAAGGAAATTTGATCCCTAAAATATAGTAAACACAATAAACTGATTGCCTCTAACATGACTAAAATGTCAAACCAAACATTTTTAAGAAAATGAATTTTGCCAGATATTGATAGCTCATGCCTTTGATCCCAGCACTTGGGTGGCAGAGGCAGGTGGATCTCTGTGGGTTCGGGGACTGCCTGGTCTACAGGGTAAGTTCCAGGACAGGCTTCAAAGCTACAGAGAAACCCTATCTTGAAAAACTGGGGGAAAAAAAAAGAAAAATGAATTTCTTGGTGCTGGTGTAGGAGGTCCTTCTGTATATGTGTTGCTTTTATTGGCTAATGAATAAAGAAACTGCATTGGCCTGTAATAGGGCAGAGTAGAGCTAGGTGGGGAAAACTAGACTGAATGCTGGGAGAAAGAAGGCGGAGTCAGGAGACACCATGTAGCCCCACCAGAGACAAACTTCGGATGGAACTTTATCCAGTAAGCCACAGCCATGTGGCAATACACAGATCAATGGAGATGGGTTAGTTTAGGATATAAGGGCAAGCTAGAAATATGCTTAAGCTATTGCAAATAATATAGCTTCTGTGCAATTATTTCAGGAGTCTGGGCGGCTGGGAAATGAACAAGCGACCTCCTACAACATGGTGCTGGAGAGATGGTTCAGTGGTTAAGAGCACTGGCTGCTCTTACACAGGACCTGAGTTTGATTCCCAGCACCTACATGGAGGCTCACAATGTCTGTAGTTCCAGGAGATCTGACTCCCTTTTCTGGGCTTAAGAGTAGCTGGAGAGATGGGCTCAGTGGTTAAGAGTTTTTGCTGCTCTTGCAGAGAGCCCAGGGTTCAGTTCCCAGCACCCATGATAGTTCACAACTATCTGTGACTACAGTTCCAGGGGATCCGATGCCCTCTTCTGCCTTCCACAGACTCCCATATACATACAATACTCATCCAAACACTCTCATACATGTTGGGAGACTCTGCTTGTCAGAGGTTGTAGTCTACCATAGCCTGACAGCTTTCTCTAAGCTTGGCAACATGGAGGACTCCCTCCCACCAGGGAGACTTCCTGCTCTCTCTTTCTCTGCCCTTATTTGGAGGCTGTTCCTAGGCCTGGATGCTGGATGTATGTCTCCAGCATGACCCTTGACATAGTTCCCTGCAAACGTTCTTCCCCTGTGGACCACGCGGCAATTAAGTGACATGCTCTAGCTATTTTCATAGGGACGTGCTGCCACTAACCCAGCCTCGTGATAGGAGCAGGCGGCTTAGGGCACGCTGGTCCCCAGGCTTCCCAATCCTATATATTTCCTATTGTCTGGAATAAAGTCAAGATAATTCATTAAAATCATCTCCTGGAAGGCTATCTCCATCATACCTACAGCCATCCAAACCCTGTTCCCCGCTTCTGCCCCCTCCACCCCCATGGACCAATGCAACCAAAGATCCCGAGGAAGTAGTAGAACAACACACACATGCATAAAGTAAATACAAAAAAAGAAGGAAGGAAACCCAGAGGATTTGAAGCAAGTTCAAGATTAGCCTGGGAGCTGCATGGTGAGTTTCAGACCAGTCAGAGCTACATCGAGAGACCCTGTCTGAAACAAACTGTTTCATGACCCAGTAAGTCCAGTAAGCTGAGGAAAAGTAGAGGAGTAAGCTGTTCTTAGGCACTGGGCCACAACTTCCTTACCGCTTTCCTGGAAATCTTCAACAGGGCTTGAGCACTCAGGGGTAAGGGGTGCTCTTGTTTCAACAGGAGCAAGAGAAGGCAACTCTTCATTTTGGCTTTGGTTCATCAGCTGCCTCTGGTGGAACCTAGAAACCAACAACATCTGTCGTCATCTCCGCCAACTAAGAAGGCATGCTCTCCTGCCGCCTCGGTTAACATGCTACAACAGAAACCTAACAAGTCTGCAAGGGCGTCTTTAGATGCTGACAAATTATAGTCTCGTTGAAAGCATTGTGTAAAAAAGTTAAGATTTTTTTTTTTAACTGTTAGATAAAGATGGGGATGTCAGCAGATATTTGTAAAGCCAGCACTGTGGAGCTAGAGGCAACAGAGTCAGAGGTTCAAAGTCACCCAACATAGTGAGCTGAAGGCCAATCTAGTTTACATGAGACCCTGTCTCAATCTATACAATTAACTGTCCACATGGCCTTATACAAACACAATTTCATATGTGAAAAACTGAAAGACAGGATCTCTGATAAGAGAAGGGATTACTAAACACTCCGGCCATATTTGTTAACATGAGCACTCAACATGCTACCTGAGGCACCTACCTATATCAAAGGCCAAATACTTTTCTTGTGGTATTGTAACTCAAACTCAGTGTCTAACACATGCAAAGCAGATCTACCACTGGGTTCTAACTTTGGCATTGACAAACCTCCCATTCTTCCGTTATCATACTGTTTGGGTCTCCCACTCAAGAACTGCTTAGCAAAGCAACTGCCATGGAACCCTCTAACCACAGAAAGTCTGGGATACCTTCACCTCCAAATCCCTCAGCTGCCACAAATGAACGGGCTTACCTCTGCTTACTAAGAATCTTCTCGAGTTTGGCATCCTCTGCAGTCTGAAGGCCCAGTGCAGAAATAAGAGGACAGACTGTAGCCAGGTACTGCACAAGCTGGATGTGCTGGCCAGGCCGATATGCTCGTCCCTTGCCTTGACTATAAAGCCATTCAGCTTTCAAACTGGGAAAAAAGGAAGAGGTGATGGCACAGGAGTGGAAATACATTCTTGAGTAACAGTGAGCTTCCTTTGGAATTTACCTTATAATACCACTACATGATTTCATAAAAAAGAAATTATTCATTTTATTTGCTTATTTTTAGCTAAACTTGATGGGTGGTGGTGGTGGTAGTGGTAGTAGTGGTGTGTGTTCCTGAGTGTGTGCATGTGCATGAAAACTCATGTGCATGTGCAGTAGAGGCCAGAGGTTGAGGCTGAGTATCTTCTCCTGATCTCCACTTTAATTTTGAGACACGGCCACGCGCGGAGCTCACCTTTGGGCTAGGCTGGCTGGCCAGTGAGCTCCAGCGCTCTACGCATCTTTACGTCCCCAGCAGTGGGACCGCAAACATGTGCCCCAATCCCTGCTTTTCTATCTATATTCCTAACTCACATCCCTCGGTCTTAGATTTCAATTGTTTTCATAATTAGAGGCACTGTTCATACTAACAAGACCAAGTATTTTTCAATTATTTTCAAAGAGGCAATGAGCATTCTCTCCATTTACTTTGCCAAACAGAAGCAATCTATAAGCTCTTAATGGCAGTTTTTAAAAATACCTAATTGGTCATATTTTTTAACTGGTATAATGGGGACTAAATATTGTTAATTCTTTATTTCCTATACAAAATTTGTCAATAAATAACTTAGTTCACATAAGTACTGAAAGTAATAAAAATAACAGAATTTCTTGGTTTTGTAACCTTTAATGAATTAATGGTTTCGGGCTACTAATAAAAAAATAGACATCCAGACATTGAATATGACCCAATAGGATCTAGGATAAAGTAGTCCTCCCTTTAAATCCTCAAAACTAGCTGGGCATGGTGGTACACACCTTAGTCCCAGTGCTTGAGAGACAGAGGCAGACAGATCTCTGTGGCCAGGACAACATGGTCTACACAGTGAGTTCCAGGACAGCCTGGGCTATGTAGAAAGATCATACCTCAAAAATAAAGGAAGGAAGGGAGGGAGGGAAGGAGGAAGGGAGGAAGGGAAGGAGGGAAGGAGGGAGGGAGGGAGGGAGTCTCCAAACTGAATCTGATCACATCATCATATCCAACCACCAATGTTTAGGTGACTCAGGAAAGAGGAAGATGCACACAGGAAACTGCCTGAGAACTAACCAGTCAGCATAGCCAACCTATGCAGTGTGCAACTGTAACAAACTGGAGGTTTTATTTTTGTTGTTGCTTTAGGAGACAATGTCTCAATGTCAGCTGGGGCTGACCTTGAACTTGCTAATAGCTGAAGCTGGTAGAGCATTGGCCTAGCATGCATGAATACCCAGATTCAATCCCAGGACCATGTGAAGCCAGCGTGGAAGCAGGCCTAGAATCCAGCTCTGAGGGAGTGAAGGCCAAGAGGTTAGATCATATCTTGGCTACACAGGGAGAGACCTCAATAATAGCCTGGCTGCATAAGACACTATCTCACAAGAGAGAGAGAGAAATTTACAACCATAATATAAGATATGCCTCCTATAAACCATACTTTCTTTTTCTTTTCTTTTTTTGTTTTTGTTTTGTTTTGTTGTTTTGTTTTTGAGTTTTCAAGACTGGGTTTCTCTGTGTAGCTCTGGTGGGCCCAGAACTCACTCCGTATATCAGTTGGCTTCAAACTCAGAAATCTGCCTGCCTCTACCTCCTGAGTATTGGGATTAAAGGCATGAGCCACCACTGCTCAGCTCATATTTTCATTTTTAAAATGCATTTACAGGGCCAGCAAGATGACTGAGCAGATAAAAGCACTTGGTACTCAGACCTAATGACCTAAGTTCAACCCTGAAATCTACATAAAAAGCCAGATTCAGCAGTATGCTGAATCCCAGCATTCTACAGCAAGATGTAGAAATAGAAAGTGCCAGAAGGTAGTGGGACACCACCCCTGAGGTATGAAGCAGGAACAAGAACAGAAAGCAAAGAGTTGGGGGAAAGAGAACCATCTCCCAAAAGGATTTTTGGAAGTGAAGGCTAAACTGTGCTGAGCCCATGCATGCATATTTTCTGAGGGCAGAAAATGAAAGGAGGCATAGTAAAGAGAATAATCCATCGTGCCTTCCAGCTCCACAGCCCAGTTTCCTCAAGGCTCTAAGGACCATGCAACAGTCTCTAGAAGACGCAATCTTGGTGGAACAGGTTCCCAGCTCCAAGATGCAGAGACCATCAGTGATCTAAGGATGGACTCAAAGGCATCAGAAGGTGAGAAACAGTATAGTATGTCTGCTTCAGGTTCCAAATTGAAACACCATGTGCACTTTCCTAGTGCATCATAAAAGGACACTGGGTTCTAACATATTATTAACACCCCCTTTACACATATGATAGATAGCTAACAAGCTTTTGTGGGAGTAAGCCAAGATCTTATATCATATTCATGTGGTTTCTAGGAAAGAATGTTACCATTTCTAAGCAATCAATAAAATGACTTTTAAAACATAGATTGTTATAAGCTTGGCATTTAGAATTACTAGCTCTAATCTCTAGGGCTAATATTCACTTTTTTCATATTTTTATTTTATGTGTATGAATATTTTTGCCTGCATGTATAACTATATACCAAATGCATTTGGAGGACATAAGAGCATCCCCAAGAACTAGAATTACAGCTAGTTGTGAGCACCATGTAAATGTAGGGAACAGAACCCAGGAAGAGCAGTCAGTGTTTCTATCTGCTGAGCCATCTCTCCCCCCCACTCCACCCTTTTTTTCATATATAGTTGCTCTGTGGTTAAATATGATTTGAATTTCTGATCCCCCTACTTTCATCTCTTCAGTGCTGGAATAACAGGCATGCACCACCATGGCCAGTTTTATCAGAAAACCAGGGCTTTGAAATAGTCTCACGATGAAATAGAAGCTTGCTCTTTACTGGCTAGCCAACAATCTACCACCCATTTCTGCCATCTGCTTCCCCATCCTGGGGCTACAAGTAAAAGAAGCTCTACTTGGCTTTTTATATGGGTTCTCAGGCTTGCAGAGCAAGGGCTTCAAACATGGTAGGCAAGCACTCTACCAACTGAGCTGTATTCCTTACCCGAGGCTAGGTCTCATGTAGTCCAGGCTGTTGTAGAACCAACAGTGTATCCTGGATGACAAGGAACACCTGATTCTTCTATCCCTGCTTCTCAAGGGCTGGGACTACTTAAATGTGCCACAACACCTGCTCCCAGCCCTGATGTTTACCTTCTGCCTTTTCTAAGAAAGGAAAGATAATCCTGAATCGTCAGCACAATCCGCGCTATGATTACACCAGCATTTTTAATTAAAAATAAAAACAACTATCTTTTCTCATTTTACATTCCGATCCCAGTTCCCACTTCCTCCCCTTCTCCCGCTCCCTCCACCTTTTCTCCCACACCACCCCCCATCTACTCCTCAGAGATGGTAAGGCTTCCCATGGGAAGTCAACAAAGTCTAGCATATTGCTTTGAGGCAGGCCCAAAGCCCTCCCCACTATATCTAGGCTAAGCAAGGTATCCCTCCAAAGAGCATGGGTTCCAAAAAGCCAGCACTGGTCTCACTGCCAGTGGCCTCACAGTCCGCCCCAGTCATACAAGTGTCACCCACATTCAGAGGCCTATGCTGGTTCCCGCACCGGCAGTGAGCTCCCATTAGCTCAGGAAAGCTGTATAGATAAGATCTCCCGAGAAAATTGGGAGTGTGGGGGTCGGAGGAGAAGAGAGGGTAGAAGGGGAGGGGAGTAAGGTGAGCGGGGATGAGAACTGAACAGAATGGATGTTCAAGATGGTGGAAGGACAGAGAGGGAGAGCAAGGAAAGAGATGTCTTGATTGAGAAAGCCATCATGAGGCTAGCAAGAAATCTGGCACTAGAAAAATTCCCAAGAATCCACAAAGATAAGCCCAGCTAAGACCCTAAGCAATTGTGGAGAGAGTGACAGAACTGGCCTTGTCCTGTAGTAAGATTGATGACTATTTTTTTTTTCTTTTTGGTTTTTCCAAGACGGGGTTTCTCTGTGTAACAGCTCTGACTGTCCTGGAAGTAGCTTTGTAGAGCAGGCTAGCCTCAGACTCACTGAGATACCTGTCTCTGCCTCCCAAGTGCTGGGATTAAAGGCATACGCCACCACCAACCAGCTTGATGACTATCTTAAATGTCATCATAGAACCTTCATCCAGCACCTGATGGAAGCAGATACAGAGATCCACAGCAGAACAATGATTGGGCTAAGCTCCCAAAGTCCGGTCAACGGGAGGCAGGAGCAATATGAGCAAAGGGGTCAAGACCATGATGGAGGTACCCACGGAAACAGCTTATCTGAGCATTTTTAATTTGTAAATATACACTTTTTAGAAAAATTCAGCAATTAATCCATAGCAAACTAGAAATGATCTTTCCTTGATTGAGACCATGTTAAGCAGATCATGTTCACCTTTCCTTCTGAGAAATCACGTATCCATCCAGTACTCTGAGGTTTAAGCACCAGTTGACAATGTACGGCCGATAGTCAAATCCTGGAATGGACGGTGTTGCCATCACACAAGGATTGTTCATGATTGACAACTGCTCCAACTCACTGAGAGAGGCCAAGAACGAGATCTAAAACAAAAGACATCCTTGTTGAACAAAATGAATGTTCAGTGTCAAGCACAGGGCTTCCGCTGATTACATAATTTTGGCAGCATATGAGAATGTCACAATTTCCCTCTTGTTCTAAAAAGCATTAAGCAATTCTCTACTGTTAGCCACTGACTTCCAAAATTCTAAAACCTGGTCATTTGTCCTTGCTGCACAAGGAAAAACATCAGCATTATTTCCTAATTAAGAAAACCGTATTTGCTTTCTTTGAGGCAGGGTCTCATTTAACCCAAACTGATCTTCAGCTTTAACCCTCCTCCTTCTATTTACTAAGTGCTGAGATTACAGACATAAAGGACTTTGCCTGACTTGAGAAAACCCTATTGGGAAACATAATAGAAGCCATGGAAAGTGGATGTCTCTCTCCTACCAATCACCAGTGATGATAATGGCAGCATTACAACTGAAATTCAGCCTGCTGACCTCCAATGTTAAGAAAAAGGAGAAAGGAAGATGCTGATGCTCTAGGGCCAGATATTTCACCAGGGCAGTAATTCTCCCAAGGTGATCTAAAATGAGCTTGAGAACCTCTCCTATCTCTCCTGGACTTGTCCTTCCTGGACCCCACAGAGTCCAGGACTTCCCCTTCCTGGATCCTACAAAGTCCAGGACTTCCCCTTCCTGGATCCCATAGAATCCTGGACTTGTCCTTCCTGGATCCCACAGAGTCCAGGACTTCCCCTTCCTGGATCCCATAGAATCCTGGACTTTTCCTTCCTGGATCCCACAGAGTCCAGGACTTCCCCTTCCTGGATCCCACAGAGTCCAGGACTTCCCCTTCCTGGATCCCACAGAGTCCAGGACTTCCCCTTCCTGGATCCCACAGAGTCCTAGACTTTTTCCTTCCTGAACCCCACAGAGTCCTAGACTTTTTCCTTCCTGGATCCCACAGAGACCAGGACTTACCCTTCCTGGATCCCACAGAATCCTAGACTTTTTCCTTCCTGGACCCCACAGAGTCCTAGACTTTTTCCTTCCTGGATCCCACAGAGTCCAGGACTTACCCTTCCTGGATCCCACAGAATCCTAGACTTTTTCCTTCCTAGATCCCATAGAGTCCTGGACTTTTTCCTTCCTGGATCCCACAAAGTCCTGGACGTTTTCCTTCTTGGATCCCAGAAGGAAAGATCCCAGAGTCAAATTTTACCTCATTTAAGTCTCGGATTTCATTTTCTGCCAAAGACAATATAGAAAGGCTTCTGGGTAGATAAGCAGGTGCCATTCTAAGAGAAGTGATGATGTTTCCATGTAAGAGCAAGGTCTTGAAAGAAAAAAAAATACAAATCAACAAATTATAAATAAATTGACTTGCCAATGCCAAAACGGTGCATGCAAGAATAAAAAGACCTATTTTGTTATACTTCTTATCACACATAATTCAAAGATTAATACTTAGAAAGCTCCTAAGTGGTCTTTAGCCCAACAAGGGTTTAAGACTTATCCAAGAACACATAATTGATGTATTATCTGGCTTTGCTATGAGATACTAGCATGATATACAATTTAAGTTAATACACAAAGCAATTTCCAACATAGTTATTTATTTCCTTTTAAAATATCAAAATAAATATAGATGTGGTAGCACACGCCTTTAATCCCAGCACTGAGGAGGCAGAGGCAGGCTGATCTCTGAATTTGACACACCAAACAGACAGCTGGATGAAGACTTAGGCAAATGGACCACTTGCATTCAAGACCAACCTAGACAAGATAGTGATACCTCATATATATATATATATATATATATATATATTATATAAAGCTGGGCATGGTGGCACATGCCTTTAATCCCAGCAATCTGGAGGCAGGGGCAGTTGGATCTCTGTGAGTTTGAGATCAGTCTGGTCTACATAGCCAGGACAGACAGACAGACAGAGCTATATAATAGAGAGATCTTATATCAAAAAAAAAAAAAAACACTTGACTTTAGGACGGATTACTTTAAACTTTATCAGAATACTGTGAATGTGTGTGTGTGTGTGTGTGTGTGTGTATGAGATATATATATTAAAGTCCCTAGCATTAGCTAAATTCATCACATTCAGAGGATGGGAAATAAGAAATAACTAACTACAATTACTACTTTCATATAAAATAAATAAATCACTTATAGGAACTAACAATCAATTTGGGATGACTTAAGTGCTCTTGCGCCTCAAGAGTACATACTCTTGCGCTCAGGAGTTCCAGAAATAACCAGGGCAATACAGTTAGACTTTGTTTCCAAAAAGAGAAAGGGAAAAAAAGTTCCTAAGTTTTTACAACAAAAACAACCAGGCAAGCATATTGGCAAACACCTGTAATTCCAGCACTCTGGAAAAATTAAGAAAGCGCTTGGTGGCCCTGAGAGGTGAGCCTAGGCTTTACTGGGAGACTCCTTCAAAAGGGGAAGTGGGGGGGGGGGGGACATTCTTAATACACAATATATGGCAGGCTGAGTTTATGCCAATGAGACCACATCTTTAGTAACTTTTTATTTGTGATCATTTTAAGAGGTGACAGAAGACCCCTTACCTTCAAAGACACCAGTTTTGACAGGTCACCTATCTGGGGTATGCTATTGTCCGACAAGTCCAGGTGCTGTAGCGCTGTGCAGCTACTGATTTGCTCCATGGTCTATTACAAGAAAAGCATCACATCAGTCCGTGCACGTAAAATCGAAATTGGTCCCTAATTCTTTGCAGCTGAGCCCCCGCCTCCTCTTGTCACTAGATGCACAGCAGCAGAGCTGAGCAAGACAAAGGGGGAAAGGGAGAGCAAAATTCAGAAAGAAGCAAGCTTTCAAGGACACCAAGCCGTTCATACCATCTCAGGTATTTATAGCCCAAAGAAATTTCAATGGCATCGAGCTGCGAGCAGAGAAAAGAATTCACAAATTTAGAAAGAAGCTACAAGTCTATTAAATCCTGGCTCCACGGTCAGGGAGGACCAGAGTCAAGGCAGTGTCTTCTAGGCATTCTGGGACCACGGCACTCCTGAGCTCACAGCAGCTGAGGTCATGACCTGCACAAGAGCAAGCCAGTTAGCAGTTTAGCACAGAGGGAGAAGGCTTCCTAGCCCCACCCCCGAGGACCTACAGACAGTTAATAGCTTCTGAGAAAGGGACACTCAGCTGTCCTTAAGAGTATGACTCCTTGTAAGTCAACCACATCCAGTGGACAGCACTACACCCAGAAGACAAAGACTGCATAAATTTGATTCAGTGGGTTATTTTTTAGAAAAATACATACAAAGAGAGGAAATCAAGTTGGGTAAGGAGGTGGAGATGGATCTAGAAAGTTAGGGAAGGCGTGGTAGATGAATATAATCAAAATATGCTGCCTGTTGTGTGAAATTCTTCAAGAATGAAGTAAAAATATATACATATATTTTTAATTTTGGGCTCTGCAATTTCTTGGATGTATGAATTGGAACAAGCATTAGCTTCTCTGTACTTCAGTTTCCCTATCTACATAAGCCTGACAACTTGCAGGCTGACATGCGCTCACTAGAGACCTTTAGGAAAGTACCGAGCAGCAGGTAGCTGCTCAGTAAAGGCAACGGTTTTTGTCATTTACTCTAGTCCCCTTACCTGGCACATCAGAAAACAGATACAGAAATGTTTGCTAATTTGTCCAAAATTATATATCCCTGTGTACATAGTAGGAAAGATAGAATACAGATCTATTGACTTAAAAAAAAAATTCCATGTACCATTAAAATTTTACTTAAAAGTTTAACTCAGTGGGAAAAAAATCTCTTTCCTCATGACTCTAGTATTTGATTTACTTTTTTCAAGTATAATATAGATTCTCTGTTCACATTTGAAAGAATGCTATAGTATGGTATATGTTCATAATGGAACAGATTTGCTATGAAAAAAAAATCAAAAGTTAATTACCAAAAAAAAAAAAAAGCCATTCACCTTCAGATTATTTCCTGCTAAATTCAGCCATTCCAAGTGGATTAGGTCCTTCAGTCCTTCCACGCAGCCAATACTATTATGAGGTAAATTTAACACCCGGAGTTGAGTAAGTTTGGCCACGCCCATCATCCGAACCAGCCGATTATTAGCCACTGACAACTATGGAAAGGGAACATTATTATTCCTAGAAACAAATATATATGTCCACACATATTACTTTTACACTATGGTAGATGGCCAGACATTACCCAGATAGACACACACACACCTATTTTTTACACATATTATATACATCTATTACCTACAATATAACTACTGGAGTTTGTTCTTCTAATCAACAAAAAGTATAGGTTCACGTGTGTTACTGTAAACCCAGCCAAAAAACTGTGGCTGGAGATGACATAGCCTAGCGAAGAAGAGACTGATGACTTTTGCTAAGAGGACATAATATTCGCATCAAATTGCCTTCTAAATAGCTGCATCCACAGCACAGAACAGGGTCAGCTATTTAGTGCTGTCAGCTCTATTCAGAGATTAGTGGCAACTGCAGAGACTCATAGCTGATCAAACTGCAGGAAACAAATAAATAGCTGCTACGTGCCCAGCCGGAAGTAAGACATTTATAACATCCCTTCCAGGGCTCCAGGAGTGTGGTAGGAGAAGGGGTAGAAAGAACATAAGAACAGGGAAAAGGGGAAAACCATGGAATATTGACTTCTAGGTATGACATGGCTGTTGTGGTTTTTGTTTCGTTTTGTTTTTCTTTTGTTTTTTCAAGACAGGGCTTCTCTGTGCAGCCCTGGGTGCCCAGGAACTCACTGTTTCATATATATATATAAGCTCCACAAAAATTGTCTTCATAACATTAGGTATACTAAATAAACACTTCTTGTTTATTTCCTAGCTTTGGTAGAGTACTGACGACCAAGCTTAGGGCTCTGAGTATGCTAAGCGTGTACTCTTAGCACTCAACACATCCAGCCCCAACATTCTTGGATGAATAAACTCTTTACCCCCAATATGAAGTAGAAATTATGTTAACACAGTATTTTGTCAACATATAATGTTCTCTTTAAATATACATATACTTATTTATGGGACTAGAAAGATGGCACTTGCTATCCTTCCAGAGGATCAGAGTTCAGTTCCTAGACCCAAGTCAGGTGGCTCACAACCACGTGTATAGCCACCCTCCAGCTCCAGGGGATCTGACCCCTCTCCCGGCTTCCACATGTACTCATGTCATACACACATGGCAAACATTCATACAGATATGCACAAATAAACATAAATAAAGCAAATAAACAAGATATTAAAAAACTTTAGAGAGAGAGAGAGTGTGTGTGTGTGTCCGTGTGTCCAAGTAGCGCACTTGCAGCCACTCTGGAGCAGGCACACAATCAAATGTCACCAGCATACTCTCAGAAGTCAGCTCTCTCCTGCCTTGGGGCACACACAGATCAAACTTTAGGCCTCTGCACAACCCCTCCTACCTACTGAGCCATCTTCCTGGCCCTATTTCCACTTTTTAACACTGTTTTTCTAGACCACTATAAATGCAATATATATATATATATTCATCTTCAGAAGCTAGCATATAAAATTTTAAGGCAACATTTACCGCTTTCAACACATGTAGAATAACTTTTTGGTTTTGTTTAGTAATAAATTAGTCTTATGTAACTCATACCCACCTGTATTAACTGTTTGCATTTCTCTAGATTTTCCAGTTTAATAATCTGATTTTTATCCAGAATCAATGTGTGAACATCAGCTTCACAGGGCAAGTTGGGACCTAATTTCTGTAGTCCCTGCCCTGACCAGTTCACCACTGATACTTAAAAAGAGAAGACAACTTGTTAGAAAGCAAATATGACAGCTGAGCTTAGCATTTTACACTGAAAAAAAAAATGTGCATACATTTTGTTTTTTTTTTTTTGCTTTTTCGAGACAGGGTTTCTCTGTGGTTTTGGAGCCTGTTTTGGAACTAGCTCTTGTAGACCAGGCTGGTCTCGAACTCACAGAGATCCGCCTGCCTCTGCCTCCCGAGTGCTGGGATTAAAGGCGTGCGCCACCACCGCCCGGCAATGTTTTAAGCCAACTCACAAAGATCTGCCTGTCTCTGCCTCCCGAGTGCTGGGATTAAAGGCGTGCGCCACCACCGCCCCGCTGTGCATACATATTTTAAAATACATCAATGCACAATAAATATAAGAATTTAAAATGATAGCAATCTAGAGCTGTAACGATACACGTTTCCTCAGAATTTACAAGTTACAGGCTGGGGTATAGCGCAGAAGCAAAGCCTTTGCCTAGCATGCAAGGCCCTGAGGTTCCCCTATTTTATACCCAACAACAGTATTTTAAAATTAGGGCTTAAGTTTCTTTTTTGAGTTTTTCAGTTTTATTATCTGGGTTTTAATTCTTTATATATTTTATTTTCCCCTTTCTTATCCTTCAAACTTTTTCTTTGTTTTGGGTTGCTTTTCTTTTGCTGTTGTTTTATTTTGTTTGATTCGAGACAGGGTCTGAAGCTGACCAGGCTAGCATAAACTCTATGTGTCTAAGGCTGGACTTGAACTCTTGATGGGTCCTCCACTTCCCAAGTGCTGGGATTATAGCTATCACCACATCAGACCCTAGAACTAAAATTTTTTATAGAGATCCAACTCTTTATAACTACAAGTATATCTTCAAGTGCCCAAAGTAGTGTGTGACAGGAGAGGAGTTGGGGGGGCACATCATGCATGCCCAAGAAGGCCTGAAGAAAATGCTGGGTGTCCTGCTCTGTCACTCTTTCATTCTCTTGATGAACACTCTCTCACTGAACCTGGAAGTCAGCAAGACTCCATAGCATTGCAGGCATCACTAGGGCTACAGGCATTGGGGGGGGGCTTTTCACAGGAATTTCAACTCCAGCCCTCATGCTTTCAAGGCAAGTGCTCATACCCACTGAGCCAGCTCTACAGCCCTCACTTTGTTTTTCAAGGCAGGGTTTCTCCCTGGCCTGGAACTCATCAAACAGAGTAGGCTAGTTGGCCAGCGAGCCCCAAGGATCTGCCTGTATCCACCTTCCCAGCACTGAGATTACAAGCTCCAGGCACCAAACTCAACATTTCTCTTGGATTTGGAGGATTGAACTCGGGTCCTCACTCTTGCACAACAAGCACTGTACCAACTAAACTATCTCCCCAGTCGCGTTGAAGTATTTTGAAAATCAAAGTATAGTTAACTAATCGATAGAATAAAATGATTCTCTGATTTCACAAGGTTGGTGTAAAGAAGCCAAATAAGTTGTACTTAGCCTCAGACCTGGCAGACAACACTCAATAAAATATGGTTTCTGACTATAGCTCCCCTGGATATTCATTTTTTCAGTCTGAAACCCCCCACACACACACAAATTAAGGTGTTGTCAGGTTTGATAACTGAGACCTCTCTCCAAGAGGCTGGCTGCCCCCTCACTGTGCCCGCCAGCGTCTTTCCTCTGTATGTGCAAATTGCTGAGTTAACTTTCCTACTCTGTAAGTTGTGAACGATAATCATAGTACTCAGGAGGCAGAGGCAGGTGGATCTCTGTTGAGTTTGAGGCCAGCCTATTTATATAATGAGTTCCAGGACAGGCAGAGAGAAGATACATAGTGAAAACTTTTCTTGAAAAGAAAACAAAACAAAAAAGCCGTGCAGTGGTGGTTCACAGATTTAAGCCCAGCACTTGGGAGACTGTGAGTTCGAAGCCAGCCTAGTCTACAGAGCATGTTCTAGGTCAGGGGCTATACAGAGAAATCATCTCGAAAAATCAAAAAAAAAGGGGGGGGGGGGAGGTAGACTGAGCCACTTCTGGTAGTACACATCTTTAATCTTAGCACTGGAAAGGCAAAGGCAGGAGGATTTCAATGAGGTTTAGGCCAGACACAACTACAAAATGAGACCCTGTCTAAAAAAAAAAGAAAGAAAAAAGCGAGAATTCAATATAAAAAAAGGTCTACATAAAAACGTGAAATAGCCGGGCGGTGGTGGCGCACGCCCTTAATCCCAGCACTCGGGAGGCAGAAGCAGGCGGATCTCTGTGAGTTCGAAGCCAGCCTGGTCTACAAGAGCTAGTTCCAGGACAGGCTCTAAAGCTACAGAGAAACCGTCTCGAAACCGCCCCCCCCCCCCAACAAAAAGTGAAATAATATAAGAAAGTTGCCCAAAATATCATCTGGCTTTTAAAAAGTGGCTCTGTAAATGCCAACTGCTACTCCTATCTGTTGTCTTGGAGTGCTAAAGAGGTTTAGGAAAAGTAGCTATCATAGGCATAGGGGGCGGGGCCAAACTAACTGCCAATTTCAAATTTACCAGCAGACTGGGACTACCCTAGGAAATAATTTCTCGGGACAGCTCTCCTAGACGGTTTCAATGTTTCTCGGTTTTCTTAGCACGAGAGGTGTCGTGAACCCCTTCTTGATGGATGAAAACTAGAAAAGCGCGCCGCGCGTTCGCACACTATTCCGAAGGGTCGACACACCTTTTAGTCGAACTCCTCCCCTCAAGAATCTGATCAGGATCCCCAGGTTATGAGCCCCGACTCTACCCCAGTCTGCCCCAATCCAGCCAGCTGCTACCACGCCTCAGAGTGTAACCAAAACAAAAGCTCAGGTCCGGCGCCCCACGGAGGCATCTCCCAGCTATAGGCGCACTCCTCTCCTGCGCTCGGCCAAACAAAGACCAAACTCGATCCTAGGACCAGGCCTGCAGAATGACGGGGTAGCAACGCGTGTCCCGGTCACCCCCAGATTCTATCACGGGTACTGGCCACTTCCAATGAAGAGTTCAGGCGACTATGATGCAGTATCAGATAAGATGCTTCCTGAACGTTCTCGGAATTGATGAAGAGGGGGGAGCACAAGAAATAAAGAGACTCTGCCAATTTCCCGTGGACACTCGGAACTCAAAGTAAACGTCCCAGAAAGGTCGCCGCAGTCCGAAGCCCACTGCCCAGTCAGACTAAGGAGAGCGCGGGACGGGGGCGCCAGGCACCGCGAAGGCTCCTGGGGGCTGGAGTCCCTCATCCAATCTTCACCGTAATGATGCCGAACTGGACCAGAAAGCGGGACTACAACTCCCAGTAGCTAATGCGCCTCCGCGCTGCCTTCAGCCCCGCATCAAAAGAACTGGTCCAAAACTGCATGTCTAAATCCAGGCTTTCTCTTTACACTAAGCACCTATTTAATATGACTTAGTGAAGTAAACGTTGGAGCTTAGTGGTGGGGATCATCCTACCTTCTCCCGGAGTCACAGCTCCGTCGGCTCGCGCTACCGCCATACTTGCCGCTTGCTAATGGCACCAGGCAACCGTCCTCAGCCGTTCTGTAGATCAGGTAGTCGGCAGTGGGGAACTGCAAACTACAGCTCCCAGAATGCACAGCACCCAACAGGCCCAATTGGCTGCCGGATGGGAATCACAGGCTTGAAAGTTAGTGGTAAAAAAGAGCTTAGGGGACCCTGATAGGTGAGCAAGCTGCAACCTTAGATAAATCATTTCACTCCAGATCCAGGTGTTAGAGAAATTTGACACTTGTACCACCTGGCACATTATAAGGACGTTATTTAAAGTAAACGATTTGAGGGCCCATTGCTAGAAGTCTCTATGACAGCTACCCATTTTGACAATTCTGAATTAAGTTTAAAAGGTTTGAGATTCGCTATAGAAATGACTAAATATTTTAAGACAGTCAAGATGGATACATTGTATTTGAAATTTTAACTAACTAAATGGATTTAAAGCCACAGAAACAGACATTTTTGTTTTAAGGGGTGGTTCTTATACATTTAACAGAGCTTTTGACCAAGGAGTGTATTTGATACATAAGTGCCCAGAACTTTTTCTGGAGTATTCAAAAGAAGTTTAAAATACCTTCCAAAGTCAAGAACACTTACTCTGCATGGTTGGAAGGGACAGACTCATCCCTGTTTGATCTAACTATGAACTCAGAAAGAGTGGAAATTACGATATTTGGGGAAACTTGATAGGGACTTTAAAGGTAGCTCCCACTTTTCTCACCAACTTCTCTACATACTGACCTCTGCCCTTGCTGAAAGAGCGCTCCAAAGTCTGAACTTTCTGTTCAGGAAAATCCAGTAATTAGGCTTCCAGCTCTTTGGGCTCACGATTCAAAAAGCATTTCCTCTGTCTTGGATTCCCTTTTTTCTTTGACATCATTTTCCTTAAAGACCTATTCTGTTTCCCATGGTTCAGTCTAAAGATAATTTTCTAATTCTGAAGAAGGAATAAAGATCCCTCCTTTCTTTTAACTAAGAGATCCCTTACTTAGTAAACAGTCTTATTATTTTATATGTATAAATGTAAAGCAAGCCGGGCGATGGTGGCACACGCCTTTAATCCCAGCACTCAGGAGGCAGAGGCAGGCGGATCTCTGTGAGTTCGAGACCAGCCTGGTCTACAGAGCTAGTTCCAGGACAGGCTCCAAAGCCACAGAAAAACCCTGTCTTGAAAAAAACAAAACAAAACAAACAAAAAAAAAAAAAACAAATGTAAAGCAAGCCAGGCATGGTGACCCAAACTTTTTAATCTCAGCAGTCTGGAGGCAGAGGCAGGCAGATCTGTGAGTTAAAGGCCAGTGTGATCTACATAGTGAGTTCTAGCCAGAGCTACATAACAGAAAAACTGTCTCAAAAACAAACTGGAGGGCTAGAGATGGTTCAGAGGTTAAGAGCACCAGCTGTTCTTCCAGAGGTCCTGAGTTCGATTCCCAGCAACCACATGGTGGCTTACATCTATCTATAATGAGATCTGGTGCCCTCTTCTGACATGCATCATGCAGACATTACTTATTACTTAATAAATAAATCTTAAAAAAACAAACAAACAAACAAAAAACAAGCAGCTGTGAGTTACCATGTGGATACTGGAAACCCAAACTAAGTCCTCTGTAAGAATTTCCTTTTAAACTGGAGATTTCCTTTTAAACTCTAGCAAAATAGTCCTTGAGTTTCCTTTTGGGTCTATTCCTAAATTCTTTCATTAATGAGACTAAGAACCCCAGGAGGAAACCCTACATTCCCCTATAACATGAGGCAGCTTTGACAGGACTTCCCAAAATACTCCAGTAACAGAAACAAGCCATAATTTTAGAACAGGACACCAGCAAACCCATACACCAAAGTAATATTTCCTACGTTGGCCAAAATCATAATGTTCTTCTTCCTGTCCTAGATCAAGAGTAGAGATACCTAGGCTGGAGAGATGACTAAGATGGTTAAGAGCACTGACTGCTCTTCCAGAGGACCTGGGTTCAATTCTCAGCACCCACATGGCACCTAACAACTTTCTATAACTCCAAGATCTGACACCCTCAGACAGACATACATGCAGGAAAAACACCAATGCACATAATATAAGAATAAATAAATTATTTAAAGAAAAATAGAGTAGAGATGCCAAAAGGAAATTCTGTTTGCTGGGTCAGTTTCTTGTTCTCTCTTCCTCTAAATAAGCATCCCTTCCTAGAGATATACCTGACAGTGTGACCAAAACTCCAACCCACAGCTTATCCCTGCTGGCACACCAGCCTGGAGTTGGACCTCTGGATTTGCATGGTGGGAATAGATGAGATCTAGTCTCTGATTTCGTCTCGTCTTCTAAATAATTTTAGTATTTGAGGGGGAAGTGCTATAGTCGTCTTAGGAGACATTGAAGATGCCAGTGCTTTGTTGAGACCACTTAAAGGAAACCAATTTCATTCTGGTAAAAAGAATGGAACACCTCTGTTCCTGAGTGGAGACATGACATTCTGATTGCTCCAAAAAGCAGAATATTACATACTATTTATTGTTATTTCTCTTATGGGTTAATCTAACTGGGTTAAACACATCTTTAATCCAGCACTTTGGTGCAGGGAAATCTCTGTAATTGTCACCTAGCACCATGTGGCTGGTTGTCTGCTATGAGGCTGCTTACTCTTGGCATGGTTTTCTCTCTCCCTCTTCTCTAGCTCCCGTTTCCAATAGCTGCTCATATTTACAGCTTGCCTGACCTGTTGTTTTTCTTTCTTTCAAAGGATAATAAAATTGTCCTCAAACTTTCAAGTCTGTCTCTAAATTATTTTACTTAGAAGACTAAGATGGTGATGGTGCACACCTTTAATCCCAGGCAGGCAGATCTCTGTGAGTTTGAGGTCAGGCTGGTCTACAATGTGAGTATCAGGATAGCCAGAGCTGTTACACAGAGAAACCCTGTCTCAAAAAAAAAAAAAAAAAAAAAAAAAAAAAAAAAAAAAAAAAACCAAAATACGTCAGAACCTATCCTGTTTTACTTTTGAAGATTTATTTTCTTTTTATGTGTGTGTGTGTGTGTGTGTGTGTGTGTGTGTGTGTGCAGAAAAGAACCTCCAATGTGGTTGTGAGCCACCAATGTAGATTCTGGAAATCAAGCTCAGGCTCTCTGCAGGCGCAGCCATCTCCCCAAACCCCTGGCTTATTTTGTCATTTTAAGGGTCCTCAGAGGGTACCTCACTTTAATTCTGAAAACTCTGACATTGCTGTCATAGCTGGAGTGGGCTCTAAGGAGTGTGGAGACAATAGTTCTGGGAGGGGGTAAAGAAAGGGCGGCAGATCTCTTCTAGTTAACAAAGTACTTAGAAAGGGGACCCAGCAATATTAGTGGGTGAAGGTATTCAGGAGCCAGATTCTTTCACGTTTACAATAGTAGCTGGGAGAGGGGTTTGTTGGATTCATCTGTTCTGCGTTCCTCAGGACAAGGCCCAAAGGTTAGATGTTCCCATATGATCACATGACCCAGCAATACTTCCCAGACACAGACACACCTTTGTGTTCCAGGCACCAATCTGACATTTAAACCAAACCACTAACCTTTTAACAAAATTGCCTTCTTGCTCTGCAATTTCTGAATCAGTTGGAGAATTCTACTAATTAACCCTGCAAATCTCTCAGAAAGGTAGTGTTTCTTGGCAGGCGCAGACCTCTTTCATGTCTATCAGCAATGCACATTCGATCCCCAGCTCTGTCTCCCAGTTTCATTTGCCCACTGTTACCGGAATGATCCAGGCAAGACAATGCCCTCTGTCACATCAATGTCGCCCTCAGAAACTTCCCAAACACAAGCTGACCTCGTTCAACTTCCACCATTCGCTCCATCCATTTTCATTCGAGGCTTTTCACTGAGGACTGACACAAAACACTTGTGTTCGGCAGTCTTGTCTACTTCCCATAGCCAGGAGGATGACTACATGTTTTCCTTTGGGTTCACCTTCTTATTTAGCTTCTTTAGGATCACCAATTATTATTTATGGCTAGAAACCAATTATGAGTGAGTACATCCCATGTTCATCTTTTTGGGTCTGGGTTACCTCACTCAGGATAGTGTTTTCTATTTCCATCCATTTGCATGCAAAATTCGAGAAGTCATTGTTTTTTACCGCTGAGTAGTACTCTAATGTGTATATATTCCACCCTTTCTTCATCCATTCTTCCATTGAAGGACATCTAGGTTGTTTCCAGGTTCTGGCTATTACAAATAATACTACTATGAACATAGTTGAACAAATGCTTTTGTCATATGATAGGGCATCTCTTGAGTATATTCCCAGAAGTGGTATGGCTGGGTCCAGGGGTAGGTTGATCCCGAATTTCCTGAGAAACCGCCACACTGATTTCCAAAGTGGTTGCACAAGTTTGCATTCCCACCAGCAATGGATGAGGGTACCCCTTCCTCCACAACCTCTCCAGCAAAGGCGTGGGATGGGGGTAAGGGGAGATGGGGAGAGAAAAGTGAGAAGGGGAGGATGGGGGGAACTTGGGGAAACAGGATGATTTGGATAAAGGAAGGTTGGATAGGGGAGCACGGAAGTACAATTCTTAGTTAAGGGAGCCACCTTAGGGTTGGCAAGAGACTTGAACCTAGAGTGGCTCCCAGGAGACCAAGGCGATGTCCCCAGTTAGTTCCTTGGGCAGCTGAGGATAGGGAACCTGAAATGACCCTATCTTATAGCAATACTGACGAATATCTTGCATATCATCATAGAACCTTCATCTGGTGATGGATGGAGATAGAGACAGAGACCCACACTGGAGCACTGGATTGAGCTCCCAAGGTCCCAATGAGGAGCAGAAGGAGGGAGAAGATGAGCAAGGAAGTCAGGACCACGAGGGGTGCACCCACCCACTGAGACAGTGGGGCTGATCTATTGGGAGCTCACCAAGGCCAGCTGGACTGTGACTGAAAAAGCATGGGATAAAACCGGACTCTCTGAACATGGCGAACAATGAGGGCTGATGAGAAGCCAAGGACAATGGCACGGGGTTTTGATACTACTTCATGTTCTGGC